GATAATCGTTTCTTTAGGATCTGTAAGGATCGGTTGGGTTGGGTAGTTGATCTTCGGTCAGATTTTATATAAATTATATGATAACATTGTTTGTAGGAATGATATTAATTATTATCATTAAATTTTTATAGGCTTGAAAGCCCTACGCATCTCACCAGGTTTTCCCAAACCTGACCCACTCATTTTTATGCATCTCAGGTAGTAGAACCAAGGTTGCAGTAGTCTAGTTAGGATGTCGAGTGGAATAAAGAGATATGCCTGTAATAAGTAGTTTCAAGACCTTTTATAATTTATGTTGAATTTATGTTTGGATATGAACGAATGTCATCTCAAGGTTTTAATAAAATAACTTTCGTTATCTTAAAAATGGTTTATTTAACTGAGAAATTCCGCATCTTAAATTATAAAGCGTAAAGAAAAATGTTTTAATTGGTTCTAAAAAATGGGGGATGTCACAGGAAATGTGTGAGTTTTGAAGAGACAGTGGGTGTAACATCCCAAAATCACGATAGAATTTTTATTTTTAATTTAAAAGAAACCATTTTTTTTTCAAACCAGAACCATATCAATTCAAGTGTCAAATAAAAATATTCCCAATATCCGTGTAACACAAAATCTCTAAAAACATGTCACTGAAGGATGTGTACGATCAAGCCTTCGTCTTGCCACGGTCATCTGAAGTATCTGAAACAATAAACTGAAAATGTAAGTCAAAGCTTATTGAGTTCCCCCAAAATACTACCACACAACATAACATATACAACATTGCATGATGGGTCGAATCATTCGTCGGACTGGAATACCCTCGGCCCAATCAGTCATCGGACTGGAATGCCAATATACAACGGGTCTGCTCAGTCATGAAACTGGAATAACCTCGGGTCCACTCAGTCATCAGAATGGAATGCCCCCGGTATATTGGCTCACGCACATAGCAGTAAAGCCTCAATCTAAAACCTAGCATGTCGACATATACATAACAGATAGCATATAACCAGTTAACAGGAAAACAGACAGATCTACAGATTAATACTGCATAACAACATCCTATATATTAGGACTCAATTCTTACCAATCAATACAATACAGTAACATTCTCTAACTGGGACTCAATTCTAACATATCAATACATCATAGTAACATCTTCTAACCAGGATACATGATTCAGTGGGCCGACATCGGTGCCTTCGACCCATAGGTATAGTGAGTAAAACTCACCTCTCAATCTGAAAAGATAGTTGATCACACCACAGTTTTGCGTACCAACTCTACAGGTGACCTGTACAACAAACAACGACCTTATCTCAAAATATTGTCCCAAAATACCCTTCGGTCAAACCTTGGTCAAAACCCTAGTCAAAGTCAAAAGTCAAAAGTTAACCCAGCTAGTCGCCACGTCGTGGCCTCCTTGGCTACGTCGTGGTCGCAATCCGACAAAATAGGCGGGTCTTGACCAAGTCACCACATTGTGGCGACCTCAACCGCACCGTGGTGATGCGTCTGGACAGCTTAAACCATTAAGCTCTTAATCTATCAAACCAACTATTCAAATTTTCCATAAGGCATTCTCTCGTCCAATGAACCATAAAAAATTGTTGCTTTGTAGACATACATGTCCAATGCATCTATTAAACCCAAACTATCTCAAAATAAAGTAAAAAGGGCCAAGATCACATGCAAGAGTTCAAAATTCCAAGAAATTCAAAATCTAGCACTCCTAACCCCAAAGGGACTCTGCGGATCCATAAAGTTGGCAACTTTATGGAATCCCAACACTCCAATATGTCCCAACATGAAGAATAAGGCATAAAAACCTAGATCTATGCACAATAAACTAAAAATCATGGAACTTGAGAACTTAAAAAAGTCCAAAAGATGCACACAAGAAGACGAGAAGAGTTTCTCGCTGAATCCAAGCCCAAATGTCACATTCTTCTTATTCTAATACCCAAAAATCAACACCAAATTAAGGCTTAGAAAGCAAGTTGGAGGTCAGGGTTTTCTTTGAGGATGAGAGACTGTGATGGAGGTTGAGGGTGAGCAACCCTAACCATCACATTCCCTTAAATAGGGGCACAAACCCCGGAGACTAGGGTTTCTCATTAGACCGCCACCACGTTGTGGCTATAGGTCACCACGTCGTGGTGGTCATTTAAAACCTGCGATACAACGACCATTGCGACGTCGTGGGATGCCTTCACCACGACGTGGTCCCGTCCAAAATCCAAAAAAATACATTTAATCTAGATAACTCCAGGAATCTGGATGTTACAGTGGGAGAAGAGGGAGTACAGGAGAAACAATGAACAAATTCTACCGGCTACAGTTCAAAAGCACTGTAGCTTGTTGTGCTCTTATGCATAGTGTTTAACATTTTGACAAATGTTAATGTTTACAATACTATCTACCAAATAATTAACATGTAAATTACATATCTTAGGGAGGACGGAGTCGACGCTCAGGTTGGGAACGGGTTGAGGCAGTACCGGCGATACCGCTGGGTTATGAATCCTTGATCGGCGGTTCCAGCGGGATGAAGCCTTTAATCGATTGCAGTGGGTTTGTGAACCCGTCTCTCTCTTATCTTCTTACGTTGAATCGAAGCATGGATCATCTGTTGAATCGAAGCATGGATCATCTTGAAGGAAAAACCTAACCAGCTTGGAGGAGCAGTCGCTCCTATTGACGTTGGGGACTCAAATTTTGTAACACCCTAGACTTTATAGGTTATGCATTTGGGCTGAATCTAGTGGGCTCAAATATTATTTTTTTCTGGTCTACTAAAATCTTACTGTACATAAAAAAAATAATAGACGTTAATGAAAAATATGAAAACACAAAAACATTTTGTGGGTTTCTTTATTTTATTATTTTTTTTATAAGTTTTAAAAATAAAACTGAATACACAATTCACTTATTTGTTTTAAATTAACAAAACTTTATTTTTAAAGTAAAAAGTGTTATATTTTATTTTATTTCATATTTTTTAATTTAATTAAATAAAAAAAATAATGACATAGTAAGTGGGTTGAGTGAGTTGGGAAATATAGGGTTTCCAAGTGTTGTGGGTTGAGAAAATTAAAAGAGAAAGAAGAGAGAAAAAACGGATGTGACAGTGGGTTAAATGAGAAGAACTCCCTCCTCCCTTATATGTAACTTGCCTTAATTATAATGTCTCTATAAAGTTGGGACACAAATTTATAGGTAACTTAATTAATGTCTCTATAAAGTTGGGACACAAATTTATTGTTGGGACACACATGGTTGGGACACAAATCCTCAAAGATCCTCACAATAGTCCAAAGTAAGAATATGGTGCAAAACCAATAATGCACAAATCCTCAAAAATCCTCAAAGTAGTCCAAAATAAGAATATGGTGCAAAACCAATAATACACAACGATATGTCAAATATATTGCACAACCATTTTTTTTCAAGATACCTTGACATGTCAAGCTCATACATTTTACTGATTTACTCTTTTCCCTTTTAGTACTTCTAAGTACTTAAAATCTCATCTAGTGTTCCCTTTAAAATGTAGTAAATAAGTATTTCTTCGGCAAAGATCAATGCAAGGATGTCTAGAAGTGGTATATATCATGCTTTATAGGATCCAAAAATAAAGTTAATGCATTTGTAAAACTAACAGCTTTGACAAACATCCTAAAAACCAAATACATATAATGTTATAAATTTCATATTAATACCACAGAGGTTGTGTAGTTACTTAGAATGCTATCAATCAAGATATATCATTAATAATTCCTTATTCTTTCCTTCTCGACCCTTTGAGTGTATAAGTAGAAAATGTTTGCATACTCATACTAAAGGATTCCAAGTAGCCCAAAACATTCCCGACAAGGTCATGCATAAATTAGCATTTTCACAGCTTCAAAGTATAAACGGCTCAACCACACTTGCAAAAAATGATGTACCAACACTAAGGTTGTTTCCAATCATGCTAAATTCTCTAATGATCATGCTCTTCGCTTATTTATCTTTTTTCTTCTTGAATATTCGAAGTCCAACCCTTTTTTTTCATGAAACACTAACCCATATGTATGATACTTCTCATTTTCTCATGTAAGATAAAACTTGAAGTAAAATCCTCCTTATTATCCTATAAATCCTGATTCCGTCACGTATCCCGATGTAGTCCTTCCTAACATAAAACCATTGAAAGATTATTCTATGGTTGTCGTTTTTGTGATGTTGTAGCGCCACATGTTCTTGGAAGCTTAAGGTCCAATGTACCTTGTCACCATTCATACTTATACAACTCTTTAGCATATGGAAAATACAATGTTTATGTGTCCGGTTATACTTGTCGTCATCATTTTAGGGCATCCACACTTATTAAACTATATATAGTTCAATGGATTGTCACATCATCCGTTAAACATTTATACACAACACCACCCAGAACCCATTATTAAACACATATTCAATCATAATCACCACTTTATTTCTTCTATTGAACTATTCATTGATCATTTAACTCTTTCATTCAACTATACTTCATGTCATCACTCATACTCTATTAAACTCCTATTAAATCATAGTTATCATCCTATTCAACTCTTAGGTCATCCCCAATCGTGATTGAATGGAGAGTCTAGTGTTAAAAAAATGATAAATGTGGCCATACAATTGATTAAAACCACCATTGTAGCCAAGTTTAATGAATGAGAAATCAATAGGGATTGAATGGGTGGTATAGATTATATATTATTTATTTTATTTTATATAACTAACCTATCTATTATATTACCATCTATTTTCTATTTATATTTTAAATTATTTTATATCCAATAATGTTGAGTCATTAAAATATGTTTTAATTTGTACAACCAATCTATCTATTAATATTCTAGGTTTATCTATTAATTAATATATTTTTTTAAAAATTAATATTGTGACAATTCATTAAACTTTAATAAAGTTGGATGAAATATAGATTTTAATAGATAAAGCAATATAATTAATGAAATGTTAATATGAAATCCAAGAGTTCAATGCATTACGGATGATCTTGGTATTGCCTCGGTTACATAATAATAATTTATTATATCTAAATAAAATCCTAAAAAAAAACCACGATTAAAACTAGAAACTATAGAGAGATTAATGTAATGAGTTTCACAACTTCAATTCATTATAATGCTCCAAGATAGTAAATCAGAGGGTGGCACCAGTGACCACACCCACTAAAGTCCTGAAATTTTGATTAGAACTCCCGTTCGGTCCAACAGCCTGGTGGGCAAGCCCTTTCAACGCTTCAATCCTCTCCTTCATCTTTTTCGACGATTCATTGAACGATAATATATGTTCAAGAGCACAACGAGTTCCATCTTTCGTGAATTTCCCGCCTTCAATTCTCACTCCTATCCCCCAAACTCTCTCAACCATCCAAGTATTCATCTGTTGATCTCCGAAAACCGGCCTACATATCATTGGAACACCAGCTCCAATGCTCTCCGATACAGACTTCCATCCACCATGTGTTAAAAACACACTTATTGCGATATGCTCCAAGACTTGTACCTGTGGTGCCCATGATACAACTTTCCCGAATCCATTCGCAGTTGTTCTCTCCAAGAACCCATCTGGTAAAAGCTTCATGGAATCTTTGTTTAGTGACCAAAGAAACGGGGTTTTGGTCTCTTCAAGTGTTTCAGCCAAAGCGACTATCTCATCTGGCTGAAGCCGGCCGATTGTGCCAAACGAGATGTAGGCCACTGATCTTGGCTTTTGATTATCTAACCAAGAACTGCATGAAAATTCATCAAATTTGGACGATGGTTTTTGTTTGCAGATGAGATGGAAGGGACCAATGCTGAGAAGGCTCTTGAGTTTTGAAGAGAGGTTTTTGGTGAGATCAATGTCTAGTCCTTGAAATGAATTTACGAGAACAACGGTGGCTTTGTCTAGGGTTCTTCCCATGTTATGTAGCATGGTTGAAAATGGTGAGTCGAGGTGTCCAAAGAGGACTCCACCTGGTAAGTCGCCTAGTCGAATCGTCGAGAGTCCAGGGATCAAGTCATCCACTTCGTTGTCAGGCGCTAATGAATTGCCTGTGCATGAAGATGCATATCTTAACTGTTGTATACTTTGTGTATAAATTTGTTTGCTGAAAAATAAAAAGAATACGTTGATTACGTTCAGATCATGTTTAGTTTACCTTTGAGTTCAGCACCTTTTTCTCTAATGAGGTCAGTGTAAAAATGTGCCGACAGAGAACAAGCTCCGGCACTCCAAAACGACACCCAAGGAATGTTCAAATCCTCCGCCATATGACTGGAAAACCAAATAAAAGCACTCACCACCAGGCAGCTGATTCTCAGTCCAATATCCTCCTCCGCCACTTTCACACCCCTCCTAAACTCCTCCTCTGCCACCGCCAGAAACAAGTTAATCTCCTCTTGAGGCTTCCCCGCAAAAACATAATCCTCTGGTATGCCGTCGGACACATCATACGGCCGTATGTTGTCACAACTGAGCTCAGAGAACAATGCCCGGTTAGATTTTCCGGTGTTAAAGAAGGAGAAAACCACCGTTGGGGCGGCAGAGGCTAGTTTCTGGACTAGGCTTAGAAGGACCGGAGGGTGTGAAGCGAAAGGAAATGCAAGCACTGCAACATGTCTCTGCCATACGCCGACTTTAGTGCTGGTCGTCTCCATTTCGGTATTGGAAATTGGATGTTATCATATGTGAATTTATAGGAAGATTATTTGAGATAATAAGTGTTAGTCGGACAAGGCCACAAGCCCCGGAGTATGATGGTGTGTGCAGTGTGCGTTCGTTGAGTCGAAGTAGGTGGAATGAACGGCTCTCAAAATTTGGGCACGCTACATATATAGTCAGAAATTCCTTTATTAAAATGTAGTCACTTGGCCAGTGGTAGGTGTGTTATTTTCTAGATATGGGACCTTTCCAGTTGTGTTATAT